TCTGTGTTCGGTTTTCTCAGACATAAATGAGGAAGTTTGATTAAAATGCTCTCTTAGAGCCAGTTCAGCCTGACAATGCTTAATGTCATATACAATAGTGTATTATCTCTCCGAGAATCTGAGAGCCGTGGAGAATCAGAAGGATGAGCTGTATCTTCTAAACCACGGACCACTAGATTATCCTCTAAGGCTTAAGGATGCACAATGCGGGATCCTCAAAAGTACAACACCCACTCCCCTGATCCAAAAAGCCAAAGGGTACAACCCAATTAGTCCCTAAGTCAACGTGTGGACGTAAGCATCCATTGTGGACAAACAAAAGAGCTGTAAATATTCTCCAGGCCCCTCCCTCTCCCTGGTGGCCCTTCCTCTTAGATTTGCACCCTGCCCTGCCATGGGTGGCTAAGAACCACCTTTTACCGAAGGCAGACAATGGCAGCCATGTTACCTGCATTCTCTCTTCAACCTTGACACAATCCTGCAAGGTTTGTATTATTAAATCCATAATATGATTTTAAAAATTGAGGTTCAGAACAGGTTAAGTATAGTCCAACATCACAACGTGAGGGGCAGGATTCAATCTGGGACCTTCTGTGACTCTAAAGCCTGTGCTCTGTTCCGCTTGGTGGCAATGTTGCACCCCCCACACCTCTGAAGACTAGATCCAAAACCATCCAAGATGCCTCAGGGTCATGATCCTTGCATTCACCAGTGGTTGCTCCTGGGGAATTTCAGGGAACCTCTCTTTAGACTCTGACCTTAGGAAGACCAGCTGCTCTCTGCCGTCTGAAAGCTCTCCTTCCTAGAGAGATAAGGAGATATGGAAGCGCCAACCACTTTCTGCAGCATGAAGTCTCAGCATATAAGCTCCAGGCCAACTGGAAACTTTGGGGTACCCAGTACAGTCACAGACCCCAGCTTTTCTGACTTTAATAACTAGTCTGACATTCAGTCCCAACCTGGTTTACTCAGATCAGATTCTAAACCTTTGCTATGCAAGGTGAGCTCCAGGGATCAGCAACATCTTAGCATCCTCTGGGAGCGTGTTATAAATGAGGAGTCTCAGGCCCCACACAGTCCTACTGAATCAGAAACTGCAGTTAGCAAGATGCTCCATGTGATTTGAATGCACATTCAAGATTTAAAAACACTGTTCTAGAATCACCTATGGAGTTTTAAAAAAGCATGAATTTCCAGAAACTAGAGTCCAAAATTACAGAGAAATGGGGTGGAGGAATAGTGGGATGTCCAAATACACCTTTTTTTTTTTCCCCTAACTAGTTTTCTTGTGGTCTCCTATTCTCAAGAAAACTCAAGTCCTTTCTGGAAGGAATCAAATATCAACTTTGTTTTGTCAATAGCTGTACCCACAGCCAACAGACAGCTCCCTCCTCCCAGGAACAGTGTTGATGACTTCATACTGGCCCTCTCTAGGGCGGAGCTCCATTTTCATCCAGTAAATGAATGGAATAATTCTGCTTATCAGTTTTCCCCTCTGCTCCAATCTTCTGCCCACAATTCACAGGGAGGTTTATACTATTGTCTCCATATCAACAGCAGAACTCCTATATATTTTCTTTTCTTCTCACCCACTGCCTTAACCTGGTATGAAAGAAGGAAGGAAGGAAGTTGGAAGGGAGGGAACAAATCAATATGTATTATATACCTACTGTGTGCCAGAGCCAGCTCATCCCCCAAAATAGTTAACATATATTTCTCATTTAACATACATAAAAATATGTAAGATTGGTATTAATGCCCCAATTTTCAGAAGTGGAAACTAAAGTTCAGGTAGGTTAAAACTCTCCCAAAGCCAGGTTTCTAAACAGGATCTAATACTAAAGTTTTGCTGCATTCTTTCTACTACTCCCAACTTGTTTGCACATAACAGTATATAAATAAACATTGTTACTGAGATGTATTCCCATACCATAAAATTCAGTTTGGTGGCTTTTAGTATATTCACACAATTACAAAACTGTCACAACCATCTAATTCCACAGCACTTCCATTACCTCAAAAAGAAACCCCAAACCAATAAGCAGTCACTTCTCATTCCCCTGTCTCCCACCAACCCCTGCACCCTTCCCCTGCCCCCCCCATACCCAGAAAATACTTGATCTCTATTAGTTTGCATCTTCTGGATATTTCATATAAGTGCTTTCATACATTATGTGGTCTTTGTGTCTGGCTTCTTTCACTTAGCATACTGTTTTCAAGGCTCATCCATGTTGTACCATCTATCAGTACTTCATTCCTTTTTATAGCGGAATAGAATTCCATTGTTGGATATACCATATTTTGGTATCCATTCAAGAGTTAATGGACACTTGGGTTGTTTCCACCTTTTAGCTTTAGGAATAATGCTCCTGTAAACATTCACGTACAAGTTTTTGTGTGGACAAATGTTTTCAATTTTCTTGAGTATATACCTAAGAATGGAGTGGCTGGGTCATATAATAGTAACTCTGTGTTTAATTTTTTGAAGAATTGCCAAACTGTTTTCCAAATTGATTACCTTTCCACTGGCAATACATGAGGGTTACAATTTTTCCATATCCTTGTCAACACTTGTTATCTGTCATTTAGCCATCCTACTGGCTGTGAAGTGGTATCTCTTTGTGGTTTTATTTGCATTTTCCTAATAACTAATAATGAGCATCTTTTCATGTGCTCTTTGGCCTTTGTATATCTTCTTTGGAGAAAGTACTTGTTGCCCATTTTTAATTAGGATACTTGTCTTTTTATTGTTGAATTGTAAGTGTTCTTTATATATTCTGGGTACTAGGCCCTTATCAGATAAACAATCTGCAAATATTTTCTCCCACTATTTAGGTAGTCTTTTTACTTTCTTGATTTGAATGCACCCACCTTGAGGTAATTTTCTAGATGGTATGGAGTTAAGGGTTCAATTTCATTCTTCTGCATGTGGATATACGGTGTTCTAGCACCATTTGTTGAAAAACTATTCTTTCCCCCATCAAACTGTCTTGGCACCCCTGTCAAAAATCAGTTGATTATAAATGTATGGGTTTATTTCTGGACTCTCGACTCTATTCCATTGATCTATATATGTCTATCCTTATGGTAGTATGGTGCTGTCTTGATCCCTATAGCTTAGTAGTAAGTTCTGAAATTGTAGTCAGTGTGAGTCTTCCAACTTTGTTGTTACTGTTGTTTTTTCAAGACCATTTTGGCTATTCTGGGTCCCGTTAGATATAAGTCTTACATTTCTTTTGTTAAATTTATTTGATATTTTTATTGAATATCTTCAAGTTTACTGACACTTTCTCTTGCTAGTTAAAATCTGTTGTTAAGCCCTTCTACTGAAATTTTCATTTCAGTCATCGTACTTTTCCACAGCAGAATTTCTATGTTTTTTTAATCATTTTTATCTCCTTATTAATATTTTTTATTGAGTGAGACATTATTCTCACACTTCCCTTTCACTCTCTAGATATGGTTTCTTTTACTTCTTTGACTATATTTATAATACTTGAGATAACATCTCTGCTAAGTCTAACATCTAGGCCTCCTTAAGGACAGTTTCTTTTGCTTGGGAGCTGTTTTCCTGTGTACTGACCATACTTTCTTGTTCCTCTGCATGTCTTATAATTTTTTGTTGAAAACTGGACATTTGAAAAATATAATGTGGTCATTCTGGATATGTAATACCCCTCCCTCCCAAGGTTTGCTGTATTTTCCATTGGTCATTATTGTTTGTTGTTGCTGCTAACGTCTGTTTAGTGACTTTTATAAATTAATTCTGTGAAGTCTATTTTCTTTATCATGCATGGCCACTGAAGTTTCCGCTCCATTCACTTGGTGGTCAAGTACTAAAACCTGAGAATTCAGATTTATAGGCAATTTCCAGACAAGTCACATAGTGACAACTATCTGAAATGAGGCTTTTTGGAGAGCTCCAAGTTCACTATGTCTCCTTCCATTGGCTATTTGTTTGCCGGTCTGCAGGGCTCCCATAGTGGCAAGGCTGTTGGTTTCTTTTTTTTTTTTTTTCAAAGTTTACTGAGTGATAGTAAAGTGATAGCACAAAGCTCCCAAAGAGGACCCGAGGGGGTTGCCCACGGCAGTTTCTAAGGCTAGTACAGAGGTGTGGTGAGAGGGGTATAAATAAGCCAAGTTAAAACGCCACAGTGCTCTTTGTGCTCAAGGAGATCCAGCCATTTTTCTTAAACAAATGCTCCTCAGATTTTTGCAAGCCTTTGGTTAATTTCAAGAGTTCCAAAAAAGTTGATTTTGACTGTTTTTGCCAGTGTTCTCACTGCTTTTCTGGAGATTTTTCAGAGGTTCTTGCTTTACCAGTCTGTGAGTACTTCTCTTGAAGAAACATTTATAAATATCACCTTGATTCGATTCTACTTTTTTTTTTTTGGTTTCCTTTCTACTCACATGGTACTCCTTCAGTAAGTAAATCATAAAAATCAGAGAAGAGATATAAGAAAACATATTTTCTGACTTTTTAGTAGTTTCCTTGTGCTATAGTGCTATGGAGGGATGTGTCAGGAGCAAGGTGGACCAAAGCTATTTCTTTCCAGGAAATAAATATAAATCCAAAAGCACACTGGAGACAAGTTCAATAAAGGAGAGCTAGAAAAGGATATGTAATATTCCAAGAAAAGAGAGTTTTTACGCCTGAATTCCTTACAGGGAGAAGTGTGGAGCTTCTAAATGGGCCAGGTACGTGATGATTATACAACTCTGAATTTTACTTTGCCAGCACTAACCCCTTTCTCAACAGCAGATGAATGAGATGCAAAATAGAACCACGATCAATACCTTCCCCTCCTTGAGCAAAACTGGACTTGGTAAAGGGTCATGCTGATGAGTACTGGGTGAGTCACTCCTACTGATATCCTGGACCGAATTCTAGACACCAGTTCATTTTAGGGAGGAGTGGGAAGGAGATTTGCATGTATGACCTCATGCAGAAGCTCCAGCCCTGGAGCATATAAACAGCTGAGATGTATGAGATACAGTACCGGGGCCGGCAGTTTCCAAACAGGTCAAGACCATGGCAGTCCTCAGTTCCATGTTGCTGCCACTCGGACTGTTTCTATGCTTCGGACTGCTGTGTTCTTCTGCCAGCTCTGCAGATGACATTGACAACTGCATGATCTTCAATGAGGTCACCACCACTAGCCAAGGCATCATGGCCAATTCAGATGTCTATGAAAGCAACACAAACTACACAGGTGAGGAGAAGCCATTCTCTTTGTTGTCCTTTGTCTTCTGAGGGGAGTTAACCAGAATTTCAGAGCACACCCCTCCACTCCTGCTTTCAATCACACAAAACATGTGTTTTTGACCCAGATGGGAAGTGGGGGCAGAAACAGAAAAAGAACATGTGTGAGAGAGCTGGTTGGGTGGGACTGTTTCCTCCCTGCTCTCTGTGCAAACCTGAGCCAGAGGTCATTAAGTCCCGACACCCAGGTTAACTGAGCCCCAGCAAGAGCACACCTGCGGCAAGTTCTCAGACTTAAATAAAGTGGGCGTTTTTATTGTTTTCAGGGATAATAAATGCATCACAGTGCGTGGTCCGTTCACATCCATTTGATAAAACAAAGTCACTATGGATGATGGTATATTGCACAACATCAGGAGGCACTGTTTGCCTTTAGGGTGTGGGTGGAAACTCTAGTGAGCTAAGCATGGAAAGTGTTACTCTCCCACCTTGTTTATGAGCAGCCTGCAGCTGAAAGAAGTTAGGTGACAGGTCAGGGCTCCCTTGCTAGTAAGGGGCAGAACCGGCTCCTGAATCTTGGCCTTTCCTTCCCAAACAATGCTTTTCTTCGAGGTACCTAGGAACATTTTATAAATATCCCATTTTGGATCAGCCAAACCTATAAGTCAAGACAGGTGCTTTCTGATTGCTTTCATAACAACAACATTTAATATAGTGGTTTACGTGTATTCATGCATTTAGATCTCACAACAACGTGTTAGGCAGATAACATACCGTGATCATTCCCGTTTCATAGACGAGGAAACAGAGGCAGAGTGCTAGTCACTTGCTCAGGTCACAGAGCTAGTTACAGGATGGAGCTGGGATATGGACCCGAGCAGTCTAGCTTCAGACACCCAGTCCTTAACCACTGCACTCTACGCCCCTCACTTACAGTAATGAGAGCTGGGGAGACTTCTTACCATGTGCTAGGTGCTATTCTAAGGGTAAATGCTATTATCTTCCCAGATGACCAGATGAGAACCGCAGCATAGGGGAGTTAAAGTTTTACCCAAGGCCATAGTGGGTAGCATTGTTAATATTTGGACGTAAGTAACAGCCAAGATTTGTACAGCTCTGTTCAGCCAGGATGTCCAGCTTCAGAGCCTGCTGTCTCATTACTGTGTCATTCTGCTCTCCTAGAACTCTAACCAATTCTGCAGAGAGCACCAGGGTGATGTCCACACCCATGAACCACAGATTCCAGACTTTGGCAGGAGAACAACGATGGTCTGCCTTCACACACTTGTCCCAGCTTGTCCTTTTCTTTTTTCATGGGGACTGTCACTAAGGGCCTCAGCTGTGATTCAGATCACTGTACCCCACTCCCTCAGGCAGTGGATCTCGTCCTCGCAAGCCAGGGAGGATAATCTTATAATTCAAGATGAGGACAAGAAGGCATATGTGTGACCTTGCACACGGGGAAGGACCTGGGGGGTCAGAGGGACTGCCACACAAAAGATCACAGGCCTCGGACTTAAGATAACATATCACAAGGTAAGGGATTTTGCTATTGAAATGGAAGAAAAAGAAACCTATCTCGTGAAAATGCTGGGTGGAGATGTGTAGCCTGGGGTTCTTCTGAAAGTGGCAAGACAGGAGAACGAACAGTCAAGAGAGGATCCATAAGACCCCGTGAAAGGGAATATGCTGGGTGAGGGGCACATCAAACATTTGCAGAGGTGTTGGGTAGAGCAGAGAGAAGGGGGAAGGAGGAGACAAACTCCGGTTCACTGAATGCCTACTTCGTGCCAGGCACTTCAAACTTCACCTGACTTCATCTCAGAGCAGAAACGTGCTAAAGCTCCATGATAAACCAAACCACTAAGTGAATGATTTGAGAGTCAAAATCCTACGCTCACAGAAAAGGGAAATGCCAGACTCCACACCCAGGATTACACAACAGGCTCCATGATTTCCTTGTGAGAGTGTCGTTGCAGGACTGCACTGGGTCTTTTGGGGAGACTGGGTAAAGACCCACAAAGGCCAACCAGTTCTCCTTATTTTGATTTTGAAATTTTTTTAAATTTCAGGGTTTGTGTCAACATTGCTAAGTCATGTATAAATGGCTTGGCATGTCCCATGGCACACACACCCCTCAGGCAGGATCTTAGAAGAGGTTCTCTGGGTCTGTCTTGGTATCGGTGAAAGAAATCCATGATGCAGTGACATTTATATTAAGATTGTGCTGGGTACGTATCTGCCTCCATGGGTGAGAGGGATAAAAGGTGCTTGCCTTTTTTCCTGAACCTTCATCTTTAAGGGCGTGGTCCAGCACTGGATGCACTTTTTAAATCAATCAATGAGTAGTCAGTGCCCGCCAGGTCCCCAGCGTTGGGCTGGCCAGATACTGACATGGATGAAACGAGAGTATAGAGAACAAGCCAGAATGTAATTAGGTACTCAAGTCTGCAGGAACAAATGTAAATGTTTCAAGAGTGAGAGGAAGAGAGGGCTGAACTGGCCCAGAGGTGGAACACGGGCAGGATCCTGGAGAGTAAGCAGGGATGGAATGTGTTATGAGAAGGCAGGGTTCCAGACATGAGAAAAGGCCAGGGGCAGGTGTGGGCCAGATGCGTCTGCAGAACTGGAGGAGGGCTGGCTGCCCCTAGAGCAGGAGTGCAAAAAGCACGGTGAGCCAGGTTAGGAGGGTCAAAAAAGCCATGTATTGGGTACTGTAATCAACAGAAGTGAAAACGTAAAAGCAGAAATGTTTAGATCCTCTATAAAGATGGGCACTTGGAAGGTTTTGGAGAGTACTTTGTCTTTATGGAAGAGTTGTAAGTGGAATCTGATCTGGCTGCAGCCTGAAGAGAGAAGGTGGAGACCAGAAATCCAGGTGACAGATGCCTAGGAGGGAAGGAAGGAGGAAGCCAGTGTGAGAGAGGGAGAGCAGAAGAAATGGCAGAGACAAGAGCATGCCCATGGGAGAACTGACAGACTTGGTGCTATCCCAGGACACCATCACTGAGCACCATCCACCTCATCATCGTGCACACATCTGCAGTTGTCAGGTTCTCAGTGGGCAAGTCAGGCCAGTGGGGTTCGGCTCAGCCCACCTGATTGGCAAAAACAAACAGAACAGAAATGTTTTGTGCTAAAAAATAGAAATGACAATCACAATTCATCCAACACCCCTCATGTGTTAAAAGTCTTACACTCTTCTCTGTGCTCGTCCCAGGAACCTTGTAGATAAGGTAACATGATCTCCACATCATGAGGGATAAGGTCATCATCCGCAGACGTAGGAGCAGACCTGGTGTAGAGTGGGCATTCAACAAAGATCTGTGGAGTGAGTGAGGGACAATATGGAAACCAAGGATGAGAGACAAAATGCCTTGCTCCTAAATGTGAGAGCTAGAATTCTTATCTAGGACTGTCTGATCCCCTTGTGCTACATGCTTGATTTTCTTTGCTTTGTACAGAGAAGTCTTTGAAAGGATTTGGAGTGGCTGACAGGGCCCTGGAGAATAACCCTTTAGCATTGAGAAATTCTTCCAGAAGGGATCTTCTAAGGAAGGAAAGGGACAGCCTGAAATGTTCTCTTGAAGTTCGCTCCCTGTCACACATCAGAATGCTAGAATCAGCAAGTGTCCCAGTGGGGTCCCTGTGAGTATACCCTAGGCTACGTCAACCAGGAAGACTCACCTGACTGGGGAAGGCCAGGAAACCCTAGGGTTATTGGACAGGTACTGGGGCTCAGAGACCCCACCCCCTTCCCTCACGTTCAACAACAGAGACTGAAAGCATCAGTGATTCTGGGACCAAGAAATGGTCTCTGCTTTGACTTGGTACTAAGGATCCCTGATGTCATGACACACTGCCCAGGGGGCCCACTTGGCCCTTTCCCAGGCATCAACCCCGCCTCTCCCCACCCTGCCTTCCCCCTGAGAGAAGGGCAGAACAGGCTATCCCCTTCGCCTGCTGGACAGGAACCTGGCCCCGGAGGTTAAGAGCCAACCAGGATCTCACCTCTGTTCTACAGCGAAACCAGGGCCAGAGCACAGGTCTTCTTTTGTTTACCTTTTACTGGAGAAAATTTGGAAAACATGAAAATGCACGAGGAAGAAAATAAAAATAATAAAGATAATCCCACTACCAAGAAATCACCATAGTTAATATCTTGTATTTCCTTCCAGACTTTTGTCTGCAACTTCATTTAAAATGGGATCATACTGTACGTACATTATTTGTAACTTCCTTTTTTCCTGCTAAAGGTTGATTTCATGATCCACATCCCCTGTCTGACTGCACCAATGGCTGATTGGTTCCTTACCCTTTCCTCCTAGTATGGGTTCCCGTGAATGCCAGTATCAGCTCTGTGGTCCTGCGAGCAGTGGACGCGAACAACAACTCACTAGGCCTCTGGGAAAAAGTAGACGCGCTCTGCAACAACAGCGCCCTATATTACCTGGATAACCCAAGTGACCAGCTCTTCAAAGCAAACTGGGTATCTCCTAACTCAACGAACATAACTACAATCGTATTACAGTAAGAACCTATCTCTGCATGATTTGCTTTGGGCTTTTACAATTGTAGACTGGGTTTACACAGTTTCACGCTGACCTTGGACAATTCAAAATACACCCCAGACATGATGTGGAGAATTTAGTAGCTTCACTCCTCTCTGCCTCGCTACTCTCTGTCCTTTTACCTACAGGAGTTCCCACGCATGCGCACACACTCCCCACCCCCCACACCCCAGGCAGGCTCAACAGAGACAGAAAGCTCTGGTGTTGGGAAAACCACAGCTGGACGGTGGTTAAAGCCAAACAAGCAAACAAACAAATGAAAAGAATTTATTCGGGACTGTTGCAACAGGAGAAAAGAGACCTCGGGATAGAACCGGGCTCAATTCTGAATACATCATGGGCAAGTGGGAATTTCTAGCCAAGAAGCAGGGTGGGAGTCACTCACAGGAAACAATAAGGCCTGTGAGGGGGAGTCTGGCTAAACTGACCTAACAAGATTCTTGCAGAAGGCATGCCAAGGCCATCAGATATTCCCCGGGGGTGGTAGAGGAGGGAGAACTAGGTATTAGGAGTAAAGGGTGGGAGGTACTTGCTCAACTTACTTAGCAGGGTTCTTGCTAAAACCGGGTTTTATTTTTTTTTTATTTTATCATGTTATGTTAGTCACCATACATCATTAGTAAAACCGGATTTTACAAGGAAGTGCACAGACAGGCCTAGAAGAAGGTTCTGGAGTCTTTGTCACTGGGCATGCTGTTTGCTTCAAATTCCAGAGAATCATTTTTCAAAACACACATTCATTTTGGAAATGCCAAGTGTGATGATTGTGTCATAAAACTGGCTTCCTAATGTCACACAAAATGGACACACTCAGATTGTCAGGTGAGGCCACCTGTGGGCTTGCATTACACTTTAACAAGAAGACCTTCCTCTCAGCTAGCGATGTTATCCAGGTTATTTTGGGAGCCCATGTTGAGAGACCCTCACACTCTCAGACTGCCACTTTTGTACTGAAAGGGCAGGTCTGACCATCAGGCCATGGCCCCTGGTGGTGTCCCCTTGGTGGTGAACAGCCACCAAGTCTCTGTGGACACTGGTGGTGATGATGCTATCAAGCCATCCTGCCTTCTCCTCTCACACCTGGGGCCTGGTTGGACATAGCTGGCTCTGGAGAGGGGGTTTTGCCCACAGTGATTTCCGAGAGTGAAAATCCAAGGGAGCTGCTGCATTCCAGCCTCCCGATGATAGCAGTCTCTTAGAAGCCAGCCAAAGCTAATCAGGGCAAAGACTTTGCTTTCACCTCACCTCGTAAAGCCTCCACACTCCATGCAACAACAAGATAAAAGGCCCAACAGTAACAACCTGCACAGAAACAGTGCATTCCCACCAACAGTGTAGTCTCCAGACCCCTCCTAACCTGCACTGGCCTCTCTGCTTGTTTGGCCTTGGTCCCCACACCCGAGAAGGGGAGGGGAGCGGCACATATGATGGGGGTACGGAGAGCAGCTGGGTGGGACACAATGGGATGTGAAGAGGCCCCTGCCCACAGGGCTCCACTATGAGTTTTGGGGAGGCAAGGCCTCTACAGAAATAATGGTGGAGTTTGAATACCAATTCCTCAAGAAAGCATTCCCTAAACCCCTAGGTCAAGTTCCAGCTCCCTGTTTTCACTCCCATAACTTCCACTGCTTTTTCACAACCTATGTCACAACTGCAATCAATTATTTAACTTGCTTACTGATTGCTTTGTTTCAAGTCTGTCTCTCTGAAGAGACTGTAAAGTGCCACAAAGGTAAGAACCATGCCTGTCTTGTTCACCACTGCCCCCTAAGCACCAAGCAGAGACTGGCATGTAGCGCACGCTCATTAGTTAACTGTTGAATGTATGAACAAGAGACTGGGATAATCACAGGACCACCGACAGAAGAACAACACACCAAGCTGTACAGATCATTTAATGAACATTAGGCACCTACTGTGTGTCAGGCATTGCGGACAACAGAACCTGCCCTCAACGAGCTGGCCCTCCCATGGCGGGACTGGCGCACAGCAAGGCCTTCCATGCAGTTGAGGGGCATGTCTCTCTAATGGAGCTCTGTCTGGGAACGACAACAGGGAGAAATGACTTCACAGAGGTTACTGTTGAGTGTCTGGGCAAATGGGACCAGGACGGAGATCACAGGCAGGACTGGCTTGAACAATGGCCAGAGGTGCATTTCAGCCTGTGGGGAGTTCAGGGTGCTGAAGTTGGCGGGGGGAATGGACAAGAGCTTGACTGGAGCAAGACCATGGGGGATCCTAGTCAAGACAATATGCACCCGATCAGTGATGCTCTGCTGATTGTGCTGGAGAGAACACTAAGGTCAGGATCTTCTGGGAAGGCAGAAAAGGGAGCTACACTTGTGAATTCCACAGCCGAGGGCCTCACCATTCTCTCTCATTGATTTGTCCTCCACAGAGCCTTCACTATTAATATCTACAATGTGGCTACATTTTCTTCTCTGCAACTAGAAAGAAAAGGTAAGTTTCTCTGTGGCCTATTTACACATCTGGCAGTGACTCCGTCAGCCTGGAAGATTACTTGGTGGGTGCCCTAGAAGAGTCTTCTAATCATGTGTTATCCAAATGTCAGTTGAGTTCCCCAGCACCTGAGACCTACAGAAGACAGTTTGACCCCTTATCCTACACCCTGTGGGAAACAAAAGCCATTCCCAAGATCTTTGCCAACTCCCAGGGGCTTTTAATTCTCACAGCCACCTTTGGCTCCAGACTCCTGCTTCCTTGGGAGCCTTTATGTCCAATGCCACATAGATGGATAGGAAAATCAGCTCTTTGTTTGATTTCCACAAAGAATTCCCACACACACAAAGCCTTCCTAGGTATAGCACACTCTAACCCAGGGGCTCAAGGAAAGAGGGGGAGATTTTCACAAAGAAGGCTTGGGAATATAGAAATGCTCATACTTTCCTTAGTTCTTAGAGCGGCCTCTGGCCACTACCACTACCACCAAGGGTTTCCACTGACTTTCATAGGCTGTTGTCCCCAACTTCCAACATCCCGAAGCTCCTCCTCCTTCTCTCTTACCTCTGTCTAGGGAGCTATAACAAATTCAAGAAACTGAGGAAAGATAGGTAACTTACTGGAGAAACATCTGCCCTGGGGAAGCACTAAATGAGGTAAAACAATGCCTCATAACTGGAAGGCACCCTCCCACCAGTGGAGAGTGCCTGAGCCTGAGCAAATCACAAGACTTCTCCCTTCTTCTTCTTGCATATAGTCCTCTTTGATCCACAGACCCTCAGAGGCATCATTACAAGGCTCCAGTTTTTCCAGAATCAAACTACCCACAGGGCCTGGTTCTCACTGCTTCTCTTCAAGGCAACCTCAGAGAACCAAAGGGTGGTCAGATCCCTGCACAGGAGAATGAGCAGCGCCTCTGAAACCACAGAAAGAGATATGCGGGTTTGAACAGGGCCTCTGTGCACTTGCTTTAGAGCAGGGGTAGCCGTCCTCAGGTCTGGAATGATACTAGTTTATTTTTTTTAAGATTTTATTTATTCATTTGACAAAGAGCAGAAGCAGGAGGAATGGCAGGCAGAGGGAGAGGGAGAAGCAGGCTCCCCGCTGAGCAGGGATCCCAACACAGGGTTCGATCCCAGGACCCTGGGACCATGACCTGAGTCAAAGGCAGACGCTTAACCGACTGAGCCACCCAGGTGCCCCTGATATCTCGTTCTTATAAGCTTTACATACAACCTTGAAATTAGCAAGAAAAAAATATAACTGTGCCATTCTGGATCATATTTGCACTGATTGATCTAATATAACATTAAGGACATGAAGACATTTGAGGACAGAGTACCCACCCAACAACAAATTCAGTAATTATATAAACTCCTTCTCCCATAGGATTGTATAGACCTTAAGGGTAGAGAATATTTCTTACTTATTTTTTCTTCCTTGACATTCTGTACTCCCTAGTTTTCCTCCTCCTCTACATATATGCTTGGCTGCTGAGAAGTGTTGACTGAAGTTTGCTCATGAACTCTGGCTCTAGTGTTCCATCAGATTGGCCTCCTTTCTCCAGTCCCCCCCCCCAAAACAGGTTCTGATGCATTGCTTTTTGTCTTTTCCAGACACAACCACTTACCAGAGCTCTACAACCAGGACAAACCCACACCCAACCTCAACAAAAGGACACATCTCCACAGCGAGAACAACTCCACAACCAACTGCAACAAGAGAACACATTTCCACAACCACAACAACCCCACATCCAACCCCAATAACAGAACACATCCCCACAACCACAACAACCCCACACCCAACCCCAATGACAGGACACTTCTCCACAGCCAGGACAACCCTACACCCGATCCCAAGGACAACCAGCTTGGCCAACAGAACCTTCCTCTGCCCCATCACAAGTACCATTCAGATCCTGCTAGTCTTTCTCACCAGCAAACTCATCTCCTAGAAGGAAGCTAGGAAAACAATTGCTCCTGCTTCCACTGCATCCTCCTATGTTCCGTTCAAAGCCAGTGCTCTGACAGGCATGTGAATGAAGACTTTACATTCTCAAATGTGCAACTCTACTACCACTGCTTTGGACCAAAACAGAGACCTGGGGGTCACTTGGTGGAGGGTAGCTAGTCCACTCACCGGTGGACTTGGGGCAGACAGATGTTCAACTGGATCTCTCAGGACACAAATTAGGCTTTTTGTTAGCTGCTTAGACCTAGTCTGGGTGTAACCCGGAATTCTGGCTCTCAGTTTCACATGCTGACAGCCAATTCCACAGCCAATGTAAACTTTTGTTCACTGCCAAATGATTCCTCCACACCTGAGTCTCCATGGGGAAAACCTTTCTTCACTTTCAAGATGACCTCAGATTTCTGACCAAACCCACTCAGGTTACACAGAGCTTCTGTGTCTCATGTCACCCAAAAAGGAAAAGAAAAAGGAATAGCCCTGATGTTATTGGCCACACCAGTAGTATGTGAAGGGCTAGAAAACAGGAATGTACCATGTCTGAGCAAACAACCATAGGGAAATATTATGGTATAAAAACAGTATTTCCTATGTGATACCAAATAAGCTATACTTCAAACAAGAATAATGAATGTGTTAAATTCAAATATGTCTGTAATGAGTGATTACTCTAACTTAAAGTATAACATGCTAATTTTATTTGTGTATATAAACATTAAAAAAAATTAATAGAATGGTGGGATTCTACTTCTCCTCAAGTACAAACTGGTCATTTTTCCCCTAATGGTAATTTCCATTAAGAAATGGGCAAAATATTTATAGTATTCATAATACAATGTAAAACCAACAGAAAGCATGGGATTTCCAGTAATACCCTGGTAATAAGCAACAAAGTTTTCTTTTAATAATTATGATAAATTCCAGGATACCAATATCCAGTAACCAGCCTTCCTCTGGGATAGTTTCTGTCAATTTCTTCTTCTTCCCTATGAATAGGCCACACTTTCCTACTTACTTGTAGGTCTTTAATTTTTGTTGAACCCTGGACACGTTGAAGGTTATAATGTGGCGGCTCTGGAAATCAGGCTCTGGAAATCCAGGGCAGCCTGCTGCTTGTTGAGGGCCGCCGTCCATTTGTTTAGGGACTTTTCCCAACTGTTCTGTGCAGACTGCATTCCTTGTTGAGTGTGGGTCACTGACAGCCCTTTCCTGTTATCTCAGCAGTCAGTCAGCGACCTGATTATTTTCTTAAATGTCAAAATTTAGTGGCCTCTTTCATTAAGCATTCCTCTAATAGCTGGAAGTTTTTTATTAGATCCTAGAGTGCTGAGAAAGTTCACTCTGACAGCCTTTGCCAGCTTAATGGTTGCTGCGGTGGAGGGACCGATTCCTGGAGCTCCTCATCCTGCCATTTTCTGTGACACGGCTCGGTAGCTCCTATTAGTACCTGCCAGGCACTTTAAGTGCATCATCCCATTTAATCATCACAACAACCCTGGGAGATAGAGTTTTTTTACAGATGCGGACACTCAGGCAGAGAGAGAGAAATCATTTGCCCGGAGTTACTCAGTGAGTAAGTCGTGGGGCTGGGTTTCGACCACTTCAGAGCCTGCACCATTAACCAGGACACCCTAAGGCCCCCTGCGTGGCTCCCGCGTCCCCCGGCATCCCCCAGGACAAGTGGCTCCCCAGGGCCCTATGACAAGGAGAGGGTATGGGTGTCTCTGATGGGCACAAGCAGGCTGCGTGCTCCAGCAGCGCTCCTCCACGCGCCACCCTGCAGTCACCTTGGAGATAAACTGCAGTGAGCCCTGACCCAAAAGCTAGGAACAAGCTTCCTATTATCTGTCATGGCCCGGCCTGGCGGCATCTCAGGTTCAACGTGGAAGGTGGGACAACAATTGGAGCCTCAGCAGAAACACTCTCTCAAGCTGGAAAACTTTTAGACTCAGAGAAATCTGGGGAGCTGAATTCAGACACGCAGCACAGAGGCAGCCAGACAAGGGCGCTGGATTCGGAGGCAGGGAGCCTGTTAAATTCCAGTTCTGCTACGAAGGAAGAAAGTGACCTTCTGCCTTGGTTTCTCATCTCTTCCATAAAGGGTTGGCCCAGGTGGCATCTGAGCACTCTTGTGGGTGGGTCTCCATTTTGATTTCTCTGTCACATCCACACCTAGTTCTCAGGGTCTAGTCAGAGATGTTAAGTTGGCATTGCTCTATGCCCTGCTGATCGGCAGAGGCCTCCCAGAGCACTGCGGAGGATTTGGAAGCGAAAGCCAGGCTCAGACACAGAGTGTCATATTCAACAAGGGTTATCTTCCTTGGACTCAGGAGGCCGCACTTCCTCAGGAGGCTTCAGGTTAGCTGCCGTCTGTGGTCTCTCGAGCGAGTCCAGTGAGCGGCCAGCAGAGCAAGGAAAGGGATAAACAAGTACGCACGTTCACAGTCTAGGAATAAGCTAATCCTGATCCTCGCTGATGGGAAGGTGACTCACCACAAGGAAAACAAAGGCATTTGGGAAATTCAAGGAAGCCCCTGGGCTGCACCTCATGCACAGAAAAGAGGTGAACAAAAGATGGACTGTTTCCACTCCCACGTTCACTTGTCCAACCTCGTTCTTCCACTTCTATGTTTTCTTGTTTGCAGCTTCGTGTTTTGTGAATTCGATGCATACTTATCCTGTGTTAGAAACAGCAATTGCCCACCCGTTTACAGGAAGGGAGTGCTGAGGGAGTAGGAAAGAAAACTGCTGTCTTCCTAATCCCATTACCTCAAAGATCTTCACATACCAGAAAGAGTGCCAAGCCTGGTCAGTGGTCCAGCTATCCCACTGACTGTTCAGAGCAGGGAAAACGTTCAGAACAGGCAGAACAGGCAGACGTTATCTTATTATCTATCAACCTCCACATTACTTTTGAAAATAAACGTTGAAAAATACTAATAATTAAGTAAAAAACTTAATATTATTTCACACAAGAGGTAGTTTGGCAATTGTCTTAAAGCATAAACTCTGAGGCCAGACTGCCTGAGTTCAATCACATTTGATTTTACCCCTTATTATTAGTGGGACTTTGTAAAGTTACTTACCATCTATGTAACTTGGTTTCTTCATCTGTAAAATAAGGAGAAATATAGTAGCTACCCATAGGCCGTTGTGGAGATTAAATCAGTTAATATATATAAAGCATTTGGAACAGTACCTGGCACAAAGTAAGTACTACTTAATTATTTAATGCCTAAAAAAGGCATCACAAATGATATATTGATGTATAAGAAAGCCAAGTATTGTACCCATATAAATATTTGCAGATAAAATGGTACCTATAACAAGGACTGAAAGTACTAACTTGTAACTCTTATAAGAAATGGCTGGCTGACTTTCCACAGTCTTCCCGCCCGCCCGCCCCCAGCCCCACCTTCGCCACCCTTCAAGCTTCGAAGTAAAATGTCTCCTTGCGTGCTGAGTCAGCTCCTTTCTTACAGAGAAACTAAACCGTGGGTGAGGGGTTGAATTATTCCACATAATAAAGAGTTACAAGAGAGGGTGGGGAAGAAAGAGCAAAGTTTGGGATGAGTACTGTGGGGGCTGAGATGGAAAGGAGCCTCTGTGGAGTGAGTGGAGAGGCTCAGGGATTTCCCAAGAGCTGTTCTCGGTTATAAACCGGTTGTCTCTTAATGTCCTTCAAGACATACTAGTGAAAATAGTATAATTTTACCTCTGATCACTGGACCATATTTCTTTGACTATGGTTCAGCAGTGAAACTGGGACATATGGACCACCCCCACCCTGCTTTTATGTAAGTTATGTCCATGTATATAGACAGAATGAAGTTAAATATATATACCTGATAGAAGTGGGAAATAATTTAACATATGCAAAAAACTACACACTTATCTATGCATATGCATATAACCTGTATGTAAAAATAAATTTAGACTCAGATGTTTGAGTCCAACAATCTCAAAAAGCCTTTGGCTAAATTAACAAGATATGTAGACAGCACATTTAAAGAGCTTGGGAACATTTTTCTTTCTTTTTTTTAAAGATTTTATTTATTTATTTGACAGAGAGAGACACATCGAGAGAAGGAACACAAGCAGGGGGAGTGAGAGAGGGAGAAGCAGGCTTCCCGTGGAGCAGGGAGCTCGATGCGGGGCTCAATCCCAGGACCCTGGGATCTTGACCTGAGCCGAAGGCAGACGCTTAACAACTGAGCCACCCAAGAGCTTGGGAACATTTTTCAATAGTCTGTTTTTCTTCCTTCCTTCCCTTTCTCTCTCTTTTCTTTCCTTCCTTCTTCCTTTCTCTTCCTTCCTTCCTCCCTTCCTCCCTCTCCCTTTCTTTCTTTGAAAGCCAAACAAACTTAGGTTCAAATCCCAGCTCTCCCATTTAATGAATGACTTTGAACAAGACCCTTCATCTCCTTAGACCCCAGATTTCTTACAGTGAACTGGAGCTGACTCCCACCTCAAGGACTACAGTGACTGAGATGCTGGACACACAGTGGTGAGCATAACGTTAATCCACAAGAGGCCAACCAATACCAACAACTTTAAGTCAGTTAACTATGCAATCTTAAATGAGAATGGAAAACATTATACCCCACAATCTGGTTAAGTTGCTTGTTTTTTTAAATACAGTTTTCTCCTTCAAGAATAAAATCTCAACTTTCCCCCCTAATACTTTGGGAATTACTGAAAGTTATTATGGCAACAAAACTAGGCCCGTGTTTGCTGAAAAGCATGTAATTGCCTCAGTGTTGCCACAGAGCTATTTAGTTCATGCTCTACAAAAAACCCTGCTCTTAAGGGCCAAACAGATGGAATGATAAAAGGCATTCTTTGCAATACCAGCTGAGGCTCTCTCCCTGGGGCAAACCTCCTCTCCACAAGTTGGGACAGTAACTACCCACCAATCTCGACTGTTCATCCTGCTATAAAGGGAGTACCTTGTCGGTGAGCACCTGTATAAGAGCAGCTACAAAATGATGGTGTGGCCATGACAGCAATTTCCTAAAAGACCCTTGATTCAGAATCCTTGATTTTGTTTTGTCTTTAAAGTAGTAGTTGAGGACTAAAACAAATTTTATCCATAAATGGGAATGGAAAACTTCCAGGAAGATAGAATCAGCCATATAATCAGGTTTGGAGAAGTACTTAGGGGATCTGATTTTATTTTGTGGTGGTTTGTTTCTAAGAATAAGACCTATGTGAAGTATACTCGAAAAGTTCGGTATTAAATCTCAAAATTTTTACCAAACCAGGTTCAACCAGTTCTTTAGAGGTGGCAGGCACTTTCATTCATTCAATAACTAATTATTCAGCACCTGCTGGGTGGTGGACAATAAGCTAGGTCCTGGTGGAAGAAGAGTAATAAGACAACAGGGCTCTGGCCCGCATGACACTGACATCTCCGTAATCAGGAAAGACAGTCAACTAATAAGCAAATACGTGTGACAAAAGAAAATGTAGATAAAAGTTTTGAGACTGCAAGAAAGTGGAGTGTATAGGATTATAACGGAAAATAACAGGATTTCTACCTATACAGGTGACCAAGGAGGCTTCTGCAAGAGGGGGACCTTTAGGCTGGGATCTGAAGAATGACGGTTTTATGAAGAAGTGGGAGGTGGGGGTAAGGGGCAGAATTCCAGGCAGAAAGGCAGAAAATACAAAGATCTTGAGGCAGGAATGAAATTGGTGTGCCTTAGGACTTGAGAAAAGGCCAGTGTGACCAGCTGCTCAGTGGCTGGGTCATATGAAGCATAAAGTTTGAGTTCATTTTAAAATCAAGAGGAAGATTTCAAGGGGTAACAGGAGAGAAGAGAGAACTAAAGAAGTATGGAAAAGAATCAAAGTGCAAGCAGGAGACCAGCTAAGAGGCCATGTCAATAATCCAGGCAAGAAATTGTGGCGGTTTGGCCTGGGGCGGTGGCCCTGGAAATGGAGAGACAAAAATCATGCCTATTTTAGAGGTAGAACTGGTAGAACTTTCTGATAGATTAGAAGTGACATGAATCCAGGACAACTCCCAGATTTCTGGCTTGAAAAAAAATGAGTGGATGGTGGCGGCATACCAGTCAGGGAAGACTGGTAGAATAAATTCTGAAGGAGGAATCAGAAATGCACTTTTGGAAATGTTAACTTTGAGATGCCTGTGTGACACCTCACTACCCCATTTATGGGTCTCTCTGCAGGCAAATTAAACCTTTAAAAGATGAAGGACAACACTAGCCCTTCTATTTCTTCAGGTTGTCATCAGCCAGTGCTTGTATTTATTAAGATATTTGTGAAAAGTGAAAAAGGTTTTTAAATTGAGTTCATACTTATACTAAATTGGGAATTTTCACTAATAAACTGACTGCCTGAAGGTGAACTGGGGCTGACATACTGAGGACTTGTTTCCTGGGCATTCTGAAGAATACAAGCCTGAGATGTTGTTTCGGAAGGAAGAAGGAAGGAAGGAAGGAAGGAAGGAAGGAAGGAAGGAAGGAAGAAGGAAGGAAGCAAGGAAGGAAGAAGGAAGGAAGGAAGGAAGGAAGGAAGAAGGAAGGAAGGGAGGGAGGGAGGGAGGAAGGAAGGAAGGAGGAAGGAAGGAAGGAAGGAGGAAGGAAGGGAGGGAGGGAGGGAGGGAGGGAGGGAGGGGAGAGGAGGGGAGGGAGGGGAGGAAGCAAAGAAGGAAGGAAAGGTCAATGCTTTTTTTTTTTTTTAATGATTAATACTCCTGTCTCGATGATGACAGAATGCCAGTGGGATTGGGTGGATAGATTCTGAAGGAAGCAAACTGACTTATGAGCTACTTGAAAGCCTAATTGTTGCTTTGAAAATCCTTCCAGTGGACAGACCACCCTCCCCGACTTTTCATCTGCGGTGATAGCAGTTCTCTCTGCAGCTATGTGGACAGAGTGTTTATCTGGGACAGTTTCCAAAAGTGTCTTTCAACAGAATCTTGCTATAAAGTTAAATTGTGTGAAACTAACAATGATTTGTCTATGTGCAAGGGAGGCTAGAAATATCCCAGACAAAACAAAAGCAAAATGAGCACAATCTGTTTCCCATCTTTAAAATCATTCTATTTCCAGGAGGAATGTAAAAGTTTGGAGTTTTAAAAAAAAAAACGAAATAGACACTTACCTTAGATCTAGGCTATGAGTGGCTGCATATACACAACTGATCATATTCTGGCCATTTTTATAACCCACTGGTAATGATTACATCAATTCAGGCCATATAAATGACAATTGAGTTCTGGTCATTCTGTCCATAGTGATATGGTCAATATAATTTTTCTCAACTTCTGAGTTGGTTTTAATTTCAAGAATCATGCTTTAAAGATCTGTGCATGTCTACCCACAAAACCCACCACGCCCATCGGAAACCACCACTACTGCTCGAATATTTCACTCCCGCAAAAGGAAATGTGTTTTATTCTGGGGAATCAAGAAGGGCATGACAGGCCTCCCCTCCCCCCACTGATCTCCCCAGCCTCCTCTCCTGCTGTTCTCCTCGTCATACTTTGCACACTAGAATATATGTGCAATCCCCTCCCTCGAGTGTGGGTGGTTTTAGAGACTTGCTTCTAAGGAACAGAATCTAGAAATGTGATTAGGTCACAAGACTGTGACCTCCACCGTGCTGAGGCACATGCTCGCTCACTGGCACTCTCTCTCTCTCCCTCCCCTCTCGCCTGCTCATGCTGAGGAAGCAAGCTGCCCTGTCCTAAGCTGCTCTAGGCAGGGGCCCCCATGGCAAGAAAGGGAGGGAGAAATTGAGGACTCAGACCAACAACGCCAGGAGGAACTGAATCCTGCCAACAACCCTTTTAGTGAGCTGGAAGCTGACCCTTCGTAATCCAGCCTTGAGATGACTGCAACCCGTCAGTGACCCCGCACACTCAAACTGCTATAATAATGATAAACGTACAGTTTCGAGCCACTATTTTGGGGTAATTTGTTATGTAGTGGTAGATAACCAGCGCACTCCCCTTGCAGGGTGGTCCTAAGGATAACCTGAGGTAACAAAGAAAGTACTGAGCAAAATGCCTGAGGCCACGGCAGGTGCCACATCATGTTAGCTCTGCCCTCCTTCCCTGCCACTCCACTGCCCCTGCTCTGCCAGCTCCTGGCCACCATCACCTAATGTCCGGATCCCCACAATGGCTTTGCAACTGGTTTCCTTCCTTTCCTGTGTCCAGCGGGTGATCTTCCTTAAAAAGCAAACAGAAAAACTTCAACAGCTCCCTATTTCTCAAAGGATAAAAACTAAACTGATATTCCAGGCCCCCAGGCTGCCCCCATCCTGTATCTCTAAGCTAGCTCCCCCTTCCACACTGCTGGAATTTGGAATTTGAGTCCTAAATGGAATGAGTGGTGTTTTTCCTTTGTTTTATTTAAGAATGTAATTTAAGAATGATCTTGGACTCTTAGGAGAAAAAATATATAAATATGTGAAGACCGTTGCTTCCTTCTCATCACCCTTCTATTGAGATTAATCTATTTGCTCTACCCCAAATACACTTGGTCCATTCCCACCAGCACCTTCACTAATGGAAGTGTACCTGTTCAGTACATATTCCCTCCTTTCTCCTGAATTCCAAAGGCCACCCTCCCTACCCCATCACTTCAAGGACCATTCAGGAATAACCTCCTCTACTAAGTTTTTCCAAAACTTATCACCTCATGATAATCTTTTTCCTTGTCTAATTTAATATGTACTCCTTTGGTATTTAAAATCACAGAAATGGGGACGCCTGGGTGGCTCAGATGGTTAAGCATCTGCCTTTGGCTCAGGTCATGATCCCAGGGTCCTGGGACTGAGCTCCCTGCTCAGCAGGGAGCCTGCTTCTCCCTCTGCCTCCAGCTCCCCCTGCTTTTGCGTGCACTCTGTCAAATAAATAAAATATTTCAAAAAGTAATAAAATAAAATCACAGAGATATAAAATCTGAAAATAGGCAGAAGCAACTTCAGAAAGCATCAGTTTCAAGCATTCATTTTACAGGTAAAGAGACTAGAGGCTCTAAGAGAAGAAGGACACATCTGAAGAGTAACAGTACAAGGACCAGAATTCAAGCCTCGAAACCCTCACATTATTCAATTCTAGAAACATTTACCAAGTGCCCATTATGTATAGGGCACTACAAAAGTTCAATAGTTTCTACCAATATGCCATTCATATATTTAATCAACAACAAAATTACTGAGCCCTATTTACAAGATACTCTGCTTAGAATAAAGACTTTGCCCACAACGAATTCAGGGCAGTAAGAACACAAAAAGGTAAAGCAACAATTACAGTACAGCTCAATAGGTCTCTGACAGCAGGTTCTAGGAAGACATAAGAAAATCACCTACATACTATCTTTGGTCCTGCCCTCCTTTACTCACCCATTCAGTTTGACAGATAGACAGACTTCTCAGTTTAAGGAGAGAGAAAAAAAAAAAATTCTCTTGAAGCAACTCACAAACAGCAAATATCTGGAGTACCCATGCTACTATGAAAAATAACGTTTTTCTAATGTGGTATCAGATCTACAAAATTAGATCTATTTTAAAAAATCCTCACACATTATATATTTTATTTATTATATATTTTAGAGTCTGTGTTCAGGAGTCAGACAAACTCTGAGTGTCATACACTCAGTTTGCTATTTATTTGCTGAGTGATCTTAGGTAAGCGGCTTAAACTCACTGAATTTTAATTTTCTCATCTGCAAAATAGGAATAATACCCACCTTGCATGGTATCTGTGGGAATTAAAAATCCTGTCTTTCAAGTAATCAATACAGAATATAAGCATACATAACAAAAATTGTGTCTGGTAACTAAAACACATTCAAATTTAATTAAGTGGGCACTGCATTATTATCAAAATTGATCATAAAATCCCTGTGGTTACTAACTCTCCAGAATAAAAGTGTACTCCTTTGAAAATTTTTCTAGTACAGTGATAACTGCATAGTCTTTTTACTATTTTCAGGCAGCAACATTCTGAGAATCTATTGTGTACTAGTTGCTATGTGGAGAGAAAAATAAAACCCTACCTTTAAGAAGTTTAGGATACAAATGAGAACACAAGAGAGAACAGTTCTTTGTGCAAAGCAGGGAAATACATTCTTGCAGATTTAGTTATGAGGAAAAGAAACCAGATGCCAAGAATATAGTTCAACTTAAGCAGGTGTAAGTTTAATGATCAGAACAAAATGGGACTGATTAGGAAAAACTGTATGTAAGAGACACATTACAGTATAATATACCCTTTTTCATGTTAATTTAATAGGATTTGATATATGTGATTATTCTTCAGTTTTCTGAATTAAAACTGTTCAGGTGGTCTGGAAACATGGACAAATATACATAATAAATAGTTTAATGATACTCCAACAAATGTTCAATGAACGTGCTGATCCTCGCTAGCAACTCATAGTTCAATAAGATGTGCAAAACTGCACTGAACAACATGCGCTGAAGCGGTATTTTCATCAATCCTTGTACATCCACCTACAATGCATCACCAACGTGATTTGTGTGTCTCATTTTCACTGAATAAACTTGTGTCCCTACATACCTGAAAAGTAATCAAGGAAGAAGTACATGTTTTGTGGTCACCTGTATTTTTGTTTTTTTAAGTTTCACCTACGATGTCTTATAAACACTTTCGCCATTCATATTATACCAAGAGAAAAATGAATACTAAAAATGAGATAACGGAAAAACAAAAATTGATTTATTTTACTTTTAAATTCCACACATTTTACTGAAAATGAAGTGATTTTTAATCTATAAATAAAAGACTCTCTAAATGATACTCAGGATGTTTTACAAGTTTGGTTTTAAGATAGATTTGAATTCACAACAGGTCTTACACACAACGATTTCAATCAATTGGGCACTCCGGAACACAGTGTAGAGGCATAACAAGTGTGTGACGACTTCTTAACAGTCCCAGGGGATAAAGACCTTTTTCAAATATGGAAAGAAATTAGTCTTTCTACAGTATTAACCCCTAAAAGCTATTCGCCTTTATAGACGACTATATTATTGTCAGTTTCATACACTTTTACTTTATAAAGAACTCCCAGAGGAAGAAATTTCTGGAGGTTTTCCCAGATATATACAGCTACATTTTCCGTCGTGCTGTAGAAAAAAAAGGAAAGAAGATCAAAGGCAAATAAACAAAATTTCATTTTTGATATTGATAGAGAAAAGAAATTCTAGATTTAAAAGATAATGTTAAAACAAAACTTCAGAAATCACACAGTGGTCAGATAAAATGTTGACAGCAATTCTTCTTCTTTCTTACTATCTACATAAGGCAAGATGGTCACACTCACCTTACAACATCTGCAAAGTATGGCACATCCAGATCCAAATTCTTATGATCAAGGGGCTTCATAATTGCCTCCTATAGATAAAACAAAGGAAAAAACACCACTCATTCCATTTAGGACTCAAATTCCAAAGTGTTCTATCTTTGCCTCTAAACCATAACTCATCAGTTAGCCGCTAACTCAGTACTTGTAAGTACTCCATGTCTCACAAAGCAACGCTTAAGGATGAAAAATAAAGCAAGGCCCAGATCTCCATAATGACTGGTTCTCCGCATTACTAAATGCAAAGAGGTAAGAAACCAAAAAGTACAGAATTCACTGGAGCTTTCTTGTAACCAGCCATTGCAGTTCAGAACTGAGTTTAACGCTTCTTGAATTGTCCATAAACTTACCAAAAATACTTCTCCATACAGTCTTCTCCTCAGCCCAACACCACAATGTCATTAGGACAAGGATCCAGTGAGTACTGCATTTTACAAAGCAGACTAAGAGTGAAATTATGTAAGTAGTTCTAAATTTCTGCTATGAGGAATAATTTAAGAATGATCTTGGACTCTTAGGAGAAAAAGTATATAAATATGTGAAGACCGTTGCTTCCTAATACATGTATATATTAACAATGTTTTCCCTTGTCAGTGGCAAGAACAGTAATTGCCTTATTCTTTCTCACTTCTTACTTTTAGCTAGCGTACAAAATCTAAGCACTTGTGAAACAATTTCCCAATGGCATGGTTCTCAGAAGGGTACATTAATAATAATAATCATTTTTTGAGCAAAACCAGAACCATATAAAAAGAGTTAAGCCTTAAACCAAACAGCCTTTAAAACAGATCAAATGAAGGGCAGTTCCAACATGGACATCAAGAAAATACCTGTTTTCTCTTCAATTCCAGTTCAAGTCCCAACTTTTCTTTTGAAGCTTCTTCCACAGGCCCCTCTGACTTTACTCTATAAGCCACGATGAGCCACTGTTACTGACTGGACTGCATGGTGTCCCTCAGGTACAAAAAGTGGGGAAGAGTTCTCTATACAGAACCTCTCCTTTAGCACGTGGTCATACGCACGCATGGAACGCCTCATATTTCCTATACTCTTGTCCTGTATCGTACAGCACTCTGTGTATATATATTTTACATTCCCAATAAATGCAAAAATCCTGTCTTTATAGCTTTCCTAAAGTACTTGAAACACACTGCTATCTGTTCACTGATTATTCTTTTCTTTTCTGAAGATTTATTTATTTATGAGAGAGAGCATGCATGCACGCGTGGGAGGAGAGGCAGAAGGAGAGAGAGAATCCTGAAGCAGACTGCCCACTGAGCACAGAATCCGATTCGGGGCTGATCCCAGGAACCCAAGACCATGACCTGAGCTGAAATCAAGAGTCGGTTGCCCAACCAACTGAGTGACCCAAGCGCCCCTCTTATTCATTTATTCAACTGAAACTTACTGAGCACTTATTATCGTTTGCCTCCTAAAAAAGTAACATGAGCACTCTGTGGGTAAGGGCTATGTCACACTCATCTGTGTACTCCTGGTACTTAGCTCAAAGACTGATGCAGAGCGGGCGAACTTGCTGAATATATGGATGATAAGTACCTCGGAAGCAGTAATGATCATTAATAGCATTTTTATGAGACAAATGTCAGATTCTAGAACAAGAGTAAGGAGCAGAGGGGGCGCCTGGGTGGCTCAGTCGGTTAAGCATCTGCCTTTGGCTCAGGTCATGATCCTAGGGTTCTGAGATCAAGCCCTGCTCAGCAGGGGAGTCTGCTTCTCCCTCTGCCACTCCCACGCTTGTAAGGGAGCGTGCTCCTGTTAAATAAAATAAATAAAATCTTAAAAAAAAAAAAAAAGGAAGGAGCAGAGTTTAAATGAAGAACTGAACAGGTAAAATGATGAATAATAACAAAGCTGGATAGAGGGAAGTCCACTCCCAACTTTGTAAAAGACTAACCACACAACCTAAGGCAAGTCAGTGAACTGTTCGGCCTCTCTCAATCTTAATCTATGGAATGAAGAAGTTGGTTTAGATAATCTCTAAGGTCTCTGACAATGCAGGATTTCTATAATGATACAGTCAGCAAGTCCCTGATTGAACTCCTTCTTCTGTGTTATCCCTGTGGTGAACTGCCTCAGTGAGTTTATGATAAAATTAGAGTGAATAACACAGGGTAATGTTAAAAATCTATGATCAAAGGCATAAGGAAAATCCAGAGAAGGAAAAGAAAGCCTCAAGGAGAAAGCTGTGTCTTGAAAGAAAGGCAGAATCTGTTAAATGGAGGAAATCAGTATACACCAGCAAGAAATAGAAGAACGACAAGCCTGTTAAGGTTATTCCCGTCATTGCAATACAACTGTGACTTATTTCCTTTAAATCACCCAAACACCTTTAGAAAAACATGGGAGTAGTTCCTCCAACTACTTCTTACTCCCACACCCAATTCCACTCATAAGGTCATGGAACCTCTGGAGATACTTGGTTGGGAAGTGATAACGGGGCCACCAAATACACTTAGAGGACAGTATGTAATAAGCATCCAACATGACATTACCTCCATATACTCTTTGAGGTCAGTCAAATTCATAACCATTCCTGTAACAGGATCAATCTAAAGAATAAACAAAGGTGAATGTTACTATAATATGCTCTTCATATTTAAACCTCTGTTAAATTATTAAAGGCTGTACAATTTGCAGAAATCGTGCCCATGTCTGCCTTCATCCCCAGGACACTCATCGATCTCATTATGGAAACACCAGGTGCTCCAGGAACCCCTTTCATGGTACTGCTCTTCTACCTGTCCACATAGAGCAGATTAAAGATAACCCTTTGGGAGAGGAAAGGCCTAGAATGGCAGCAGCTCACCATACACAAAGGACAACAATGAAGCAATATTGATTTGAACAGAATTTTTCAACACAGAATCCATCATGTTGGCTGAGAGGGCCCAGCAATCTGGACAAATCACACAGATCTTTTCAGCACGTACCTCTCCATGCACCGTCACCACAACTATGGGAAAGAAAACAGAATACCAAAAAAAACCACATGACTTTCAACAGATAACACCCAAGCACAAGTTAACAACATAAATTGTTAGGTCTCTATCCTGCAAAGCTCTATTCATATTTTCCCTCAAACAGCTGTTCTTTTAGTTAAGATCTTTTTCTCAACCAAAGCAAGACTCGGCCAAGACAGAGAAGCTCAGCAGGAGCTTTGGCTAAGCAGAGGATCCCAGCCAGAGCCAGAAAGGGTGTACATTCAGCTTATGATGTTGATGCACTAAGTAGGAATGTCCACTAGGTAGGATTGAGATGCTGCTCGATCACTGCCTGAAAAAGTAGAATGTACAGGAAGACATCCAGCTACACACCAAGTTGGCCCAATGCTGGGCAGCACCTTTCTCAGCAAGCAAAACCACTACTGGGCCTAAAACTTTGATCCCTATAATCACACAAACACATACAGTTTATGGTAATATTTTGTAAATTAAAGAACTGCTTGTATAAGCATTTGAAAAATGATGACCAGAGTGTTTTACAAATTAGTGACTTTTATATATATTTTTCAGCTCTGTACAAACACCATTAGGTATTATGTGATAAGTGAGCAAACTAAAAGTGACAAATATCATAGATCAAGTAAGAGGTGGTAACTAAACTAGAAATTCTGGTCTTTTGACACCTTTTGAATCTTTTTACTCTACCCAACTATATGCTGTTGATACTCTATGCTCACAGGGCTGTTTTTTGAGATATCAGCTTTATCTCAAAGAATCAAGTCTCCTACACTCACATACATTATTTTCTTGGAACACTGCAGGCAGTTTTAGACACAACCTATTTTCCCAGCATACAGCATATTCCTAGTCAATATCTCCCTTTTGTCAGTCATTATTTACTCAAAGAATACAATCTAATGTTTCTAATACGATCTAATTTTAACATTAGCCTCAGAAATACCTAATTAGAAGGAAGCAGGTGCCAAAAGAACCTCATTATGCATACTAACGCCAAGGCAAAAAAAAAATTGTTTAAACCATTTGTTATCTCTAACAGAGCAGATATTTGCAAGGTAAAATTTAAGACACATCCAACCAAGGCAACAGATTTTTTTCATTCTGAACTTCCACGTAACTTCTCATTCAAGGCTCAAATATGCTTTGTCCATAAAGTTTCTTACTCGTTTAGACTATATTTGCTGATCACACTTTCATCCTTATTGAAAGACCTAAAATTTCATCAGTTTTTCTCTCACCTTTATAATTGTGCCCATGGCCATTTAGATTGTTGCATTTCCCAAACAGTTTCAAGTTTTCTTCATTACTCAGAGATTTGCTAACCAAAAAAAAAAAAATAAAAAAATAACATGACACAAGTTCAGACACCTTCTCTGTTCCCTACATTTATTATTTGCTCTAGTCTTTGAAGAGCTTCACAATTTATTATCTTAGCTCACCAAATGGAGTCATAAATCAACTTGATTTCATTATTCCACTTTCTGTCAGGAACCAGTGTATGCCCCCTAATTAGGCTACTGTAATGTACAAATGAGCGTGAACAAAGTCCACAACCCTTGTTCCACAGCAAGATTCCAACTGATCTGCTCAAGGCCCTTCTATTTTTCAACTCAACAAACACTGGGTACCCATTACATGGTAGGTATGGCTTGAATGAAGCAAGGACTTACAATGACAAAAGAAGACGCTTGTCTTCAAGTGGCTTAAAAATCTCATTTCTCCTGAAAAATAGATGACCTACTACGTCTCCTCTTTAACAATCTTGCATTATTATGCCTGAATTATTGCCCACTGACGGCTTCACCAATCCATACAGCAGTATTCAAAGTAAAAATTTAAAATTACAATGCTCAGCTGTATTCTGGGCAGAAAACAATTTTCTTAATGAATTTTTACGTCTATACGTGTCCAATCAGCTAGGCATCTTCAATGAGGCCTTCTATGTGTGAACGTCCTATTATACCACCCCTTCCGCTTTGAGATTCTCGTTCTTCTCCGCCCCCCCCCACCCTCATCCACTTCCGTTTAGAATGCTACGGTTCACAAAGCTTTGGCACAAAATTATCCCACTGTACCCTCCACAAAATTGGCCAGAGCGTGCGCTCCGCACAGAAGGTGGGGACAGGTACGTGTTGATCGCTGCTGCATCCCCGCCACCTAGTACAAGACCTGACACGCTGGTCACAAATACCTGCCCAGGGAATGGGAATGGATGACTCTTGTTAGAAATTATCATCCTCATTCTACAGATAGGGAAACGTATGCCGAGAGCGGAGCTTGCTAAGGAGAGGCGAAACTCTCCTCCACATCAACTCCTCAGTGCAGTCAAGCAGCCTGAATGCTCCGGGTTCAAATCCCGGCTGTGCTCCTTGCTCTCAGCGCTGCAAAGGGAACGCCTGGGTTCGTGACAGCTGTGGTAAGGAGGGCATAAACCTGCGTCGCTGTAGCGGTACTGGTGATGGCGGCTAGCGCTCCTGACACCTCGCGGCAGCTCACACTTGCCGAGAGGTCACCACATGTCTGACTCTGTGTCAACCGGGCCAGGCGAACTGCTCTGGGTGCCACTGCAACCCTTGGCGCGCCACTAGGAAACGTGCGCGCCCCCGAAGCTGCTCCAGGGCACCGAGCCGGGGCGAGGGGGGAGAACCTTAGCCTTCGGGTTCCGCACGCAGGGCCGTGCCCTCCGCTCGGAGGCTCCGTTTGCCACCGCGCCCCACGGCGCCCCACAGCCTTCCGGTCGACTCCAGCTGTCCCCGTCACCGTGGCGCCAGGGCGGCCGGGGGGCGCGCGTCCCCGAGCCCCGCCCCCCCCGCACTGTGGCGCCCCCCCCCCACACCTGTGGAGTCTGTGGGTCGCGCTGAAGGAGACGAGGCGGGACACCCGCGCCCGGCGGCGACAGCCCTCGCCGGCTCCCGCCGCGCTCATCGCCGAGCCCCCGCACTCGGCTGGCGCCGGGGCTGGACGACAGCGCGGCCCGCGTCTGCGCAGTGCTGCCGGCGCCCTGGAACGCGCTCTCCGCGCCGCGCTGCGACTGGCTCCCTCCGCTGGTCTGGAGGCAGCCAAGCGTCCGGCACTGGGAGTCTCTTGGATGGCAGAGTTGGGATAAGCTAAGCAAACCTCCCAGCGGTGGGTCGGAAAAGGTGGGTAGGACCTTAGTGTCTTTCATTATACTGACTGCTCAGCCCTAGAACAAGTCGGGCCATTAGGCTCAGCCGGGGCACACTTTGGGTACTGGAGGGACCTCTTTGAGATGCTCCTGCCACTCCCTTCCAGAAAGCCCTGGTTACAGTAACCTCCACCGGCTGGTTACTCTGAGATGAGCCCTAGGGCCAAGCCACTTACAGCATAAAGGGAGCGGGGATTTCAGGGCACGCGTGGGAGCGCTTGGCTTTCGGAAATGATACTACCTTTGGACTGTTTGTAAAGATTCTTCTTATTAAGGGAAATTCTCAAGCTTTCCTTAGCATCCACACATATGAAGCCATTTATCACAGTGTGAACACACGCAGCCGTGAACACACACACATTAGAGATTCTCTGTCACCCCCAGAGTGAACGGATCTTGTTTCCTCACACCTACCTATAAGGAGTATCCACACTACTTGCAGTTCCCAGTATTATGTCACCTCTTTTCACCATTTCCTCACTAAATACTTACTGAATAGCTAACCATGAGGCTGGCAGTGTTCCAGGTACTGGGAAGGATAGATTAAACCAGGAGGGTGGCAGGCATACGGGCCCCAAATGTTGATTTCTCTCAAATGTCTCCTGTCTCCGGCTACATACTCTGTTCTGCATGAAATTATTGTCATGTAGGGGCGCCTGGGTGGCTCAGTCATTAAGTATCTGCCTTCAGCTCAGGTCGTGATCCCAGGGTCCTGCGATCGAGCCCCGCATCGGGGTCCCTGCTCCGCAGGGAAGCCTGCTTCTCCCTCTCCCACTCCTCCTGCTTGTGTGCCCTTTCTCGCTATGTCTCTCCCTGTCAAATAAATAAATAAAATCTTTAAAAAAAAAAAAAAAGAAATTATTGTCATGTAGCAAACATTAACGCATTTTCAAATATTTTTATTCTCTTCCCCGTTGGGCTGTAAAAAAATGTCAAAGAAGGATAAACTTCGGAGACATCTGAGACAGACCTGGACTAGTTCAGTCCTCTCCCAGATAGGAAAACACGGGCCCAGATAAGTGAATTACTCATCCAAGATCACTTACAATAAAACAGTATTTCCTGGGCATTGACCACATCGGGGATAAAACACTTGACTCATTCTGAAGTCTTAAGAATCAAAATTCAAAGCCGAAGGAATTTCTGAGAAATTGCTATAATTACTTTAGTAAAACATGGCATTACATTTGCAGAGCTCTTTCTCTAAATGTTTTTATTAAGGGTACTCACCAAATTTACCCTCAGTGATCCTGTTATGGATTCAACCATGTCCCCCCAAAATTAATGTTGAGCCCCCAGTACCTCAAAATATGACTTTATTTGGAATAGGGTCTTTGCAGATGTAATTAGTTAAGAGAAAGTCACAAGGGGGAAGCCCTAGTCCCTTTACCCCTTCCCTATGCGCTACATACTCCCTTTCCTTGAGTCTCTGGACACTGCTGAGTGATGAGCTGGACTTAGCAAGAGGAAGAGGCCCTGCTTAGGCTTAAACTTAGTCATATGCTCATTCAATTTTACCAGAACTCTCTGCACTAGATTACCAGGCATAGGCATATTACAAAATGTCATAGATCCTTTTTTGTCTTCGCCTTCAAGAACCTCATAGATGACAGAGCCACAGAAGAATTTGGGCATCCTTGGGTCAAAATCTTATGATTGTACCACTAACCTTTATATGTTTGAACTTCACTCCCTGTGATTAGGATGGAATTTATAGAGGAAAGACGTTATCAGCTTTGCATACTTCACAGAAGTCAGCTAGAATCTCCTCCACCCTTTAGATCCAGATAAGATCTAAAACAATCCTCCATGTCTTGTGTGGGGGAGTACAATGCCTTTTTGAGGATTTCTGTAAGATATATTTATATTCTCTTACAATGACTTCAGCCTTGAAGCTCCCACATCTGCTGTCTTAGCTGTACTTAGGCATCTTCTCATCATTCTGGTACCTGCTGGTTTGGTTTTGTGTTTCATCAAGCCAGACACAAAACTTAGAACTTTCACTTTATTGCCACAATATAAACCATTACCTGTGGCATTTTTGTACCTGTGGGAACCCTTCACTGAAAAGGACAAGGTTTATGATGTCTGTAATAACTCCTGAGGATAACTGGGAAGAAACTGGCTATGCTGGTCCAGGGGTGTGCATGAACCATGAGTTCACAGTTGCCCCAAACTACACATCTAGGAGGCTTCCCCAGCAACATTCAACATGCAGAGGGAGCGAGGACAGTTTAACTGGCCCCAGGCTGGAGTTAAGTGGAGAGAGGAAGTATAACTGAAGGAAAAGGGAACAAGAGATCTTGAAGGTGTTGGCAAGAGTATGGTTTAAGTGACAGATGTAGCAGGATTTGGGCTGTTAGTAAAACTGGGGGTGAGAGAGGGGGTTTAGAAATTATTTTATTATAAATTTGTATATTTATATATAATATAAATATATATTTATATTTATATAATTATAAATTAAATTATATGGAGATTATATGGCCTCCAGTGCCACCTGTTGCCCGATTGAATGAAGAACTACTGACTTCTCATCAATTTCTGGAGAACTATACACCTGGAGATTAGAAGAAATGCCTGATTTTAGTGACATCCCTCAAAACAACATCCTCCCAAGGCTGAGCTGGGGGCAGGGCAGAAGGTGACAGTCAGTGGTTCAACTGCTGTGGCATCTGCAGACAGCAGGGTAACAGTTTGGAAGAAAGCCTCTAAGCATAACATACCTGGCTTCCCGTCCTCTGTGAGCCCTAGAACCCATGCTAACAGGCAGGCTGTGACGGGAAAAAACGAGGTGCTTTTTTAGAGCTATGTTCATATTTTACTATCTACGATTATTTGTATTTTTTCTCTCAAGTGTGAGAACCTCTGTCACTCACCCTATCTGGTGGTGGTAATGACGCAGCTCTACTTTTTCTTTCACGTACGTTTATTATCTAGAGGAAGATCTATCTAGTAAATATAAATTTAAAACTCTCTTCAAAAGGTTGTATCAACACTTGTTTAAAGTTTTTAAGAAAGAGCTCTAAAAAATTGTAAAACCATTATTATCTCAAGAATTCTGTTTTTAATAGAAATTTTAAAACCAGGTGTCTGTGGTTTGGAGGGGAAGGTGCCCTTTTTGCGCTCCCTTTTGTACAGAGCATGTTCATTTTAAAGCTAGTTTCCAAGTGTTTCGAGTTGCTCCATCAGATGGTCACAAAGGTGCCATGGAACCCATAAGGCATTTGCACAGGTACTTCTGCTCGGCCCAGTTCTTCAAAGTTCTTGGCATCCAAGACTAGGAGAAAATTGTTTTCATTCTAGAACAGAAAGACAATACTGAAAATTCTTTTGATAATGTCTTATGCATCTTCCTATCTATCCTCAGCACCTAGCACAGTGCCTTGACTATCCATCCATTCACTAAATGTTTGCTGAATGGCTGAACGAGCCTGAGAAGGACATTATGGCTGAAGAAGTTCATACCTAGAGTGAAGAAATTAAGTTGTTTATATCAATTACCTTCAGAGGATCTCTTGGAGTTTAAGGATCTTGTTACCTGCCCCTTTCCAATCTCCTAGGAGACAGAAATTTTTTCTTCCAAATTAGAAATGTTTCCATTTTGTGTTACTTTGGAGCTGTACAAAGGGTAGCATTACAAGGCAGATTGATATTTGCCCTGGTGTAATTACAGGAGTGGCAAGTACATGATATGAGGACAAAGTCCTCCTAAGCCTATGGCAGATATTAGTAATCGATCACGGCACTTTTCTCACCAAACCCTTAAAAAGCCTCAGGCGACGCCTGGGTGGCTCAGTCCTTAAGCATCTGCCTTCAGCTCAGGTCATGATCCCATGGTCCTGGGATGGAGCCCCGCATTGCGCTCCCTGCTCCACGGGAAGCCTGCTTCTCCCTCTCCCACTCCCCCTGCTTGTGTTCCCTCTCTCGCTGTGTCTCTCTCTGTCAAATAAATAAAATCTTTTAAAAATAAAATAAAATAAAATAAAAAGCCTCAGAATCCTACAACCCAGGCACCCACTAATAACTGGTCAAAGCTGGTACTCAACCTATTTGCCACAAGACTGCTTTAGACAAGAAGTTAAGACATCAACATGATTGAGACACTAGGGCTCACCACATTAGACTTTTGGGGCACTCGGATGAAACTGGCAGCACAGTTGGTGGCATGAACATCAGACTAGACATCAGAAGACAGATTTAAACACGGGCTTTACTACTGTAAGATCTGACACAAGCTCTCTCAACTTCTCTAAGTTACAAATTCCACATGCATAAAATGGTATCCAACAAAGCTGTTCTGATGAGTAACTAAGGTGACATGTGTGAAAGTCATTTGTAAATGAATTCCTATGCAAATGCAAATTATGAGGATGATTCTATAAATAGAACGTTCAAGTAATAATAAGGCATGGATTATGATAAAAGGGTATGTACATATGAGGAGAGGAAGAAGAGGGAGAAAGTGCTGTATTGGAATCAAAAACTATTGATAGCATCACTGAATATAATCCTCAAAAGGCTCATTGCTACTTCTCTTTTTGACTAGTGATGAGGAGATACATCTACCTGGTCAGGGGTGATCACTGCAGAGAGAATAACCCCACCATCTTCTTCACTGGTTCCTGGTGCTGGAACAAACACTGGTTCTGAGGGGTAAAAGCCATCTTCTCTCCAAATCTAGAAGTCCCAAAAAAAGTATTTGATAGAAGGCTAGTTATGAGCAAGAAGCCTTCTATAGCTTTTGTCACTCCCAGCATGAATTTGGCTGTCTAATACAATATTCCAAGAGTAAAAGAATCAGGCTCACTGAGTTGAATGGGCAGGGTGCGGGGTGATTTTGCACCTGCAGACTCCATCATCATCAAACACAATTTGTACAATTTCCCATCAACCTGAAATTTAAGTGTCCCAACAACCTGAACCCCATTATTTGTCTAAAAATAAGATCATGCAGAGACTTCTTTTTCTGGGCTTGTGATTCATTTAAGATTCCCTAGACAGAATATACCCCTAGCCTAGGTGATAGCATGGTTCTCAAACTTAATAAAAGTAAATGGCTGAACTGCCTAAATATTAAAGGATCTAAAGAGCTACTTTAACAAAACAGAAACTAATTCAAAGTACAGAACAGGTCATTTAAGAGTTCAGAAAGGGAGGGGCACCTGGGTGGCTCAGTCGGTTAAGCATCTGCCTCAGGCTCAGGTCATGATCTCAGGGTTCTGGGATCAAGCCCAGCAAAGGGCTCTCTGCTCAGTGGGGAGTCTGCTTCTCCCTGTCCTCTGCCCCTCCCCAGCCCGCTCATGCTCTCTGTCTCTCTCAAATAAAATATTTTTTAAAAAAGAGTTCAGAAAGGGAAAAAGATTTTCATTACCGTCAGTGTCTTATTCACCACATCAACCTTGATCAGAGAATCCCCCACCAAATGCCGAAAGCCACAACCATAGAAGAAACGATACTTTTTGCCACTGAATTGGCCATAGTTGATCTGGGGAAATTCAACACCTCCTTCCTCCTCTAGATCCTCAGGATGTAGATTTTCATAAGAGCACCAAATCTAAGAGAGGTTCCAAAAAGATATGCAGTAATTGCTTACTTTCACACTTATTTTATTCAGTGTAGGTCAGTGAGGGTGCTAGGAGTTTGTGACAGGGCTTGGGAACTGAGACTCTAAGTCATTTTTTCCATTATTCCTCTTCCATCATATG